GACGACGCGCCGCTCTGCCTAGCAACATCCTGGCGCTTGGCGGCCGCGCTGGGCGACCGGCCCCCTGCCTAGCAACGGCGCCGCACTTGACGGCCGCGCTGGACGACCGGCCCTGCCTAGCAACGATGCCGCGCTTGACGGCTCTGCTTGACGACCGGACCCCTGCCTAGCAACGGCACCGCGCGACGACCCGCCGCTCTGCCTAGCAACGACGCCGCTCTTGACGGCCCCGCTTGACGACCGGCCCCCAGCCTAGCAACGACGCCGCGCTTGACGGCCCCGCTTGACGACCGGCCCCCAGCCTAGCAACGATGCCGCGCTTGACGGCTCTGCTTGACGACCCGTCGCTCTGCCTAGCAACGACGCCGCGCTTGACGACCGGCCCCCTGCCTTGCTTGGCAAATGTCTTTTACGACAGGCCGCTCTTGCCTAGCAATATCTTCCCTCTTGACGGCCGGAAGGGCCAACCGGCCGCCTCATAGTAACGCCGCAGCGCTTGACGGCCGTCCTTGGCAACGAGCCCCTCAGCTTCACGTCGCGCTTGACGGCCGAGGGATTGTTGGTGGCCGCTGGCCTTCCCTCAGAGGGTCGTCTGGGGATCTCCGGAGGTTGTGGCCGCCCATGGGACGGGGCAGGGAGAGCCGTGGCCGCCCGGCCCTTCTCCTCGCGCGCGCCCCACGGGCTTTCTCTGGGTCCGGCGAGAGGAGGTGCAAAATCTGAAGCGTCTTTTGTGTTTTGCTTTAACAAGGGCGGACATGGCGCCGAAACCTCTCTTCTGCGCCCCCCCCACAACTCCTTTCGAAGGGAAAAGTCAAAAACGCTCAAAGCGGGTTTTTTCCCCCCATTCAGGCACTCCGTTAGCCACCTATCGGCTTCCGCGGCGATGGAGGCGCCCGCCGGCAGGGGGCGCGCCGGGTCCTTTCTCGGCGGCGGCGTTTTCAGGCGGCCGTTCGGTGACGTCATCGGAGCGCGCGGGCGGCGCCTGCTGGAGCGAGGAGTCGCGCGGGGATGGTGGAGGCGCTGATCTCGGGGGCCGCCGAGGGGCTCCTCCTGATCCGGGGTGAGCGGCCGGGCCGGGGGTGAAGGGGCCCCTCCTGAGGCCGAGGCTTCCCCCCCCCACCCGGCCTGGCCCTGCTGCCCCCCCTCTGCTGCGGAGGGGCGCCCCCCCCTTCATGGGACAGGGGGAGGGGAGGGGAGGGCGTCAGGCGGGGAGGGTCTTAGCCTAAATAGGAGCGGGGATTGCTACTGGTGGCTAGCTTGGAGCTGGGGGGATCTCCTGGTGGCCTCCCATCCCCCCTGCGCAGGATCTCCTGGTGCTCTACCGCATTCAGGGGATCCCCTGGTGGCCTCCCATCCCCCCTGCAGGGGATCCGGTGGTCTCATCGCACGCAGAGGATCTCCTGATGGGCCTCCATCCCCTTCAGGGCATCTCCCCGCAGTCTATCACATGCAGGGGGGTCACCTGATGGCCTCCCATCCCCTTCAGACATCTGGTTGTCTTATCGCATGCAGAAGATCTCCTGATGGCTTCCCATCCCCTCCAGGGGATCTCCTGGCGGTCTCTTACACGTAGGGGATCTCCTGGTGGCCTCCCATCTCCCCTGCAGGGGATCCGGTGGTCTTATTGCATGCAGAGGATCTCCTGATGGGCCTCCATCCCCTTCAGGGGATCTCCCCGCAGTCTGTCGCATGCAGGGGGTCACCTGGTGGCCTCCCATCCCCTTCAGACATCTGGTTGTCTTATCGCAATGCAGAAGATCTCCTGATGGCTTCCCATCCCCTCCAGGGGATCTCCTGGCGGTCTCTTACACGTAGGGGATCATCTGATGGCCTCCCATCCCCTCACAGGGGACCTTCTACTGCAGTGGCCCCCAACCTTTTGAGCACCAGGGATTTGGTGGACCGGAGTGGGGGAGGGGGCATGGTTTCACATGCTGCTTGCATCCCGCACATGGGGCTTCGTTTGTTTGCGTGGGCCAGTTCCTGCCATGCCGCGGCCCAGTGCCGGTCCACGGACCGGGGATTGGGGACCCCTGTTCTAGTGGTCTGTTGCATGCAGGGCTTCTCCTGGTGGCCTCCCATTCCTCCCTGCAGGGGATTTCCTGGTAGTTTATCGCACGCAGAGGAGCTTGCAGGTTATAAAACGAGTAAAAAAAAATAGTTATAAAAGATTAAAAGAACACAGAATTAAAAGATCATTAAGAACTATATGAAAACTGAGCTTAACCTAAAAGACTTACTTGGCTTCTTCCCTGGGGCAGATTCCGTCGCTTGCGAAGGGCGCCCCCTGCTGAAGAGCTTCGTCGTGGCTGCCGCCCAGCGGTGAGTTGAGAGGCTTTGAATTCGTTGCCGTATCAAATTGATAGGCCACCCACCCATTTGGCTTGGCAAAACAGCCGGGACTGCTTGGTGCCAGCCCACAGATGGACTGCCCACTAGCTGCCGGGTTTCTGTGGGAAATGGGTATTTGTTTTTTGATTTATTATTAAAGTTGTATTCCGCCTATTCCTCTGCCAAGTAAGTGACTCTGCGCTGCACCTCACAATTCCACATCAGCCACTCATCTTTCCCATACTGCTGGGGGATGATGGACATTGTAGTCCATACTGCTGAAGAGGTTCTCCCTCTCCAGATGGATGGGTGGATGGATGGATAGGTAGGTAGGTAGGTAGGTAGATTGACAGACAGACAGGGTGGGTGGGTAGGTAGGTAGGTAGATAGATAGATAGATAGATAGATAGATGATAGATAGATAGATAGATAGATAGATAGATAGATAGATAGATAGATAGATAGATAGATAGATCATCATCATCAAATTTAATTTATATACCGCCCTTCTCCCATAGGACTCAGGGCGGTAGAGAGATGATAGATAGATAGATAGATAGATAGATAGATAGATAGATAGATAGATAGATAGATAGATAGATAGATAGATAGATAGATAGATAGATGATAGAGAGATGATAGAGAGATAGATAGATAGATAGATAGATAGATAGATAGATAGATAGATAGATAGATAGATAGATAGATAGATAGATAGATAGATAGGATGGAGACATGAGAGGAGAAGGATGGATAGATAGATTGGATGGATGGATGGATGGATGGAGACAGGTGAGAGAGGAGAGGGATGGATGGATGGATGGATAGATAGATAGGCTGGGTGGGTGGGTGAGTGAGTGAGTGAGTGGGTAGATAGATAGATGATAGATAGATAGATAGATAGATAGATAGATAGATAGATAGGATGGAGACATGAGAGAGGAGAAGGATAGATAGATAGATTGGATGGATGGATGGATGGATGGAGACAGGTGAGAGAGGAGAGGGATGGATGGATGGATGGATGGATAGATAGATAGATAGGCTGGATGGGTGAGCGGGTAGATAGATAGATAGATGATAGATGGATGGATAGATAGATAGACAGATAGATACGGGGAACAAAATAGCGCGGACTAACCTACATTCAGCTGCCAGGACCAAAACAGTCTTTCCATTTAGGAATTACAAAAAACCACCTCTGGCTTTTCTTCCCTTAGGGCAGAGTCCATCCACGTTCTCAGCTTTGAGCTGCCAGAATTGGAATTCAAGGCTGGGCTGAGCCCTGAAGTGACCTCCCGGTAAGTCCTAAATTTGTACTTGCATTTGTGTGTATGTGTGTGTGTGTGATTCAAAAGCGGGGAACAGCAACTTGTGTGTCAGTCCAGAATTGAGGCCAACTAAGGAGAAACTTCCTGACCGTGAGAACAATTAACCAGTGGAACTACCTGCCTCCAGAAGCGGTGAATGCTCCAACACTGGAAGTTTTTAAGAAGAGACTGGACAGCCGTTTGTCTGAAATGGTGTAGGGTTTCCTGCCTGAGCAGGGGGTTGGACTAGATGACCTCCAAGGTCCCTTCCAACTACTACTACTACTACTACTGCTACTACTACTACTACTAATTATTATTATTATTATTATGATTATTATTATTATTATTATTATTATTATTATTATTATTATTATTATTATTCTCTAAAACTGTAGCCAGAAAAGCCGTAAAAGGGGGGGCAAACGTCTCACTTAGCGACAGAAACGCTGAGCTCGGCTGCGGTCGTACGTCAAGGACTACCTGTCGCTCGCTCTCCTTCCAGGATCTTCTTCCACGACGCTTTCCCAGATCCCCTGGGTTGGTCCCGGAGGGGGAGCGGCCTGACCCTGGGAGAGTTCTCCGCTTCGGAATTGGCCTCCCGCCTGGCCGCAGCCTCCCAGGGATCTGCTACGGTGGTCCTGGACTCCCTCAGCTGGCTACTCCTCCGTCTTCCCTTCCCCTCCGTCTGCCAGATGTTGGCACAGCTGCCCAGGAGAGCCAGTGCTGCTGGTGAGCGAAGGGGGGGGCACGTGGGGGGGGGGCTGCTGACAATATTGGTGGTGGGTTTTTTTTTGGTCCGGTCCAGGTTTCCATTTCTAAAGCAGAGGGAAAGCATTGGATCTTTTTCGGCAATTTGTTTAGTATTCCATTTTTATTTTGCCTTTATGAGTCACTCGAGGTGGTGAGTAGACCCAGTGCTTCCCCTGGCTCTGCTCTTCCCTGCAACCAACAGCCCTGTGAGGTGGGCTGGGCTGAAGGAGAGGGACTGGCCCAAAGTCAACCAGCCGGCTTTCATGCCTAAGGTAGGACTAGAACTCGCCGTCTCTGGGTGATTGGCTCAGTCAGCATTCACGCCTAAGACGGGACTAGAACTCACCGTCTCCGGGTGATTGGCCCAAAGTCAACCAGCCGGCTTTCATGCCTAAGGTAGGACTAGAACTCGCCGTCTCCGGGTGATTGGCTCAGTCAGCATTCACGCCTAAGACGGGACTAGAACTCACCGTCTCCGGGTGATTGGCCCAAAGTCAACCAGCCGGCTTTCATGCCTAAGGTAGGACTAGAACTCGCCGTCTCCCGGTGATTGGTCCACAGTCACCCAACCAGCAGCAGACAGACTACAAAACCCATCAACCAAATTGAGACCAAAATGAGGAATTTCCTTGGAATTCACTCCGCCAGGAAGCTCATTTTGGGCACGCATCGGGATTTTCCCCCCCCATAAAGCGGAGAGACTGCAGAGGAAGGGACTACAAGAGAGTAAGCAGGCCACAATGGGTGTACATATCAAAAGGACTGGGTTAGCGCCCGGGAATTCTGGGAGTTGAAGACCACCAGTCTGAAACTTAAAAAAAAAATGATTTAGCCTAAAGAAGGAGAGCCATTTGTTTTGGATGGTATAAGGCAGGGGGTCTTCAAACTGGGGCCTCCTCCGTTCTCCGTGAATCCTGACCAAGGTCAGGGTGAATCCCGACCTTTCCGGAGGAAACACCGCCTCGGGGGTGTCCTCAAAAACCTCCTTTTTCCCCCCGCAGGGTTGAACGTCGTCCGGATGGCGGCCCTCGTCCACGGGGATTTGCACCCGCCGGCCCAGCATGAGGTGCTGAAGACGCTGGCCCGCCTGGCGGTGACGCTGCAGCCGGGACCGGAGAGCGGGCGAGGCGGGGAGGGGACCCCCCAAACGGCTGTCGTCCTCCACAGGAAGAGGGGGGGCAGGTTTCTGCAGAAGGTGAGGGGGTGTCCAGGTGGGGCTGCTTTGAGCCAGGGCTCGGGGGGGGTCAGGGATGGAGGGGCAGGTCCTTTTCGTCCAGCGTCAAGCAAGGAGGTAGATGAGAGGAGTGGAATTCTGCCTAACAATAATAATAGTAAAAACAACAATAATAATAATAATAAAATTGGAAGGGACCTTAGAGGTCATCTAGTCCAACCTCCTGCTCTGGCAGGAAACTCTACACCAGGGGTAGGCCACCTTGGCCCCTTCATGACTTGCAGACTTCAACTCCCAGAATTCCTGAGCCAGCCTGGCTCAGCTTGGAAACCTCTTCCTTTCCCCTCAGTGTGGCCGGCTCAGGAATTCTGGGAGTTGAAGTCCACCAGTCATAAAAGGGCCATAGTTCCCTCATGCAGGCTGAGGGATTCTGGGAGTTGAAGTCCACAAGTCATAAAAGAGCCAAGGTTGTCTACCCCTGCTCTACACCATTTCAGACTAATAACGATGATGATGATGATAATAAAGTTGGAAGGGACCTTGGAGGTCATCTAGTCCAACCTCCTGCTCAGGGAGGAAAGCCTATACCGCTTCAGACAAATATGTAATCAGAATAGAAGCTGGAAGGGACTGTGGAGATCTTCTAGTCCAGCCCCCCTGCTCAAGCAGGAAACCCTATACCTGGGGTAGGTAACCTTAGCTGTTTTATGAATCATGGACTTCAACTCCCAGAATTCCTGAGCCAGCCAAGGTGGCTGAGGAATTCTGGGAGTTGAAGTCCACAAGTCATAAAGGGGTCAAGGTTGCCTACCCCTGCCCTATACCATTCCAGACAGGTGGCTGTCCAGTTTCTTCTTGAAAGCCTCCAGTGATGCAGCACCCCAACTTCTGGTGGCAAGCTGTTCCACTGGTTACTTGTCCTCACTGTCCGGAAGTTTCTCCTTAATTCCAGGTTGCTTCTCCCCTTGATTAGTTTCCACCTGTTGCTTCTTGTCCTGCCTTCAGGCGCTTTGGAGAATAGGCGGCACCCCTTCTTTGTGGAAGCCTTGCACCCCCCTTTTTTGCCACTGAGATAAATACGTTTCTCAATATGAAAATTCAGGGAGTCCTCGACTTTACAACGGTTCTCTTTAGCGGCCGTTCAAAGCTACGACGACACTAAAAAAGACATGACTTCGGACCGGTTTTTCACACTTACGACCCTTACAGCATCCCCACCGTTAACGTGATTAAAATTCAGACCCTCGGCGACTGACTCGCATTTATGACGGTCGCCCTGCCCTGGTGTGTGTGTGTGTGTCCCGTGATCCGCTTTTGCGACCTGACCAGGGGAACACCGGATTCGCTGAACGACCGTGTTGCCCACTTCATAACCGCGGCTGTTTGCTTGGTGGCGGTGGCCAGACGAATCGTCCGAATGGGGCGGAATTCATTTAGCAACCGTCGTAAGTCGAGGACTACAGATCGGTTGACGATTTGGGCTTTGCCGGGGAAGGCTGAGGCAGGTTCTTTGTATTCCCCCACACACACCCCCACCCCTCACCCTTTCTGCCCTTCCCTCCCCAGACACAACTCTTCAGCATCCTCCCGGGGTTTGTGTTCAAATTCCTCGGCGAGCTGCCACCGAAAGGCGTTTCCACCGAGGAGGACGCGGAGGAAGGACGGGAACCAGCCGCGGTACGTGCCTGGCAGGTCTCGGGCTTGTGGCAGACATATTGGAGCGGGGTTTGGTTTGTGGGGGGTGGGTTCAGATGGGCTCTGTCAGGAAGAAGGACATCAGGAAGGGTCAGGTTTGCTGAGCACACAAGCATTTTAGAAATAATGCATTATTTTAAATAGTCCTCAGCTTACGGGACCAGAATTTCCGCCACTAAGCGGGAGGGTTGTTAAAACGAGCCCCGGCTGACTTTTAGGGCACTTTTGGCCCTAGGTTGTTCAGCGAATCGCTGCGGTTTGCAGCAGGATCTGGCTCCCCCCCCCCATTGACTTTGTTCGTCAGGAGCCAGCTGGGAAGATCACCAATGGGGATCCCACGATCCCACTGTAACCATTCTTAATACAGGCCGGTGGCCGAGCCCCGGATTTTGGGTCTCATGGCCACAGGGGTGCTAGGACGGTCGTAAGGGCGAGGAGTGGTCGTAAGTCACTTTTTCCCAGTGCCGTTGTAACTTGTAACGAATGGTTATGAGTCAAGGACTACTTCTAGATGAATGCTTTAATTAGACTTTGGGTAGGACCAGGGAATTATCAATCTCTTGATGAATCCTAGGGCTGGAAGAGACCCTGGAGGAATCTAGTCCAACCCCCCCCCCCGGCCAAGTCAGGAGACCTTATACCAGGGGTCTTCAAACTTGGCCCTTTGATGACTTGTGGACTTCAACTCCCAGAATTCCTCAGCCAGGCATGCTGGACGATCGATAGATAGATAGATAGATAGATAGATAGATAGATAGATAGATAGATAGATAGATAGATAGGTAGGTAGATAGATAGATAGATAGATAGATAGATAGATAGATAGATAGATAGAGTAGAGAGAGATAGATATAGATATAGATATAGATATAGATATAAATAGATAGAGATAGATATAGAGATAGATAGATTAGAGATAGATATAGATATAAATAGATTAGATGGATAGAGATAGGGATAGATATAGATAGATATAAATAGAGATAGATAGATAGATAGATAGATAGATAGATAGATAGATAGATAGATAGATAGATTAGAGAGAGATAGATATAGATATAGATATAGATATAAATAGATAGAGATAGATATAGAGATAGATAGATTAGATATAGATATAAATAGATTAGATGGATAGAGATAGGGATAGATATAGATAGATATAAATAGAGATAGATAGATAGATAGATAGATAGATAGATAGATATGATGATAGACGAGAGAGAGAGAGAGACACGATAGACGATGATAGGTAGATGATAGACGATAGATAGATAGATAGATAGATAGATAGATAGACACTTTAGAAATAACTTTATTCTAAATTAAAATAATGAATTGAATACAAGGCTGGCTGGGGAATTCGGTTTAAAAGTTGCCAAGGTTGAGAAGACACTGGGCTAAATTCAACCTTCCCAAGGAGATCTTTTCTTTCCTCTTGATCCACCAACCCCGTCGATCTCGGGATCTTTCCAGGCTGATCCGACGGCCCGCCTGACCTTCAACCTGCGCCTCACGGAGGCCGAGCGCCAAGCCAGGGAATCGGTGCCTCTCCCGTACCACTTCAGCGAGGAAAAGTAAGGGCCCGCATGCGTCTCTCGTTCTTTCGCTCTTGAACGCGCTGCGTATTTTTATTTATCCGTCGATTAAATTTATATCCTGCCCGGATTGCTCGGCAAAGCGACTGTGGGTGCCTTAGAATGTTTGGCAAGGAGAGGAGCTGCTGTGGGAAAGGACAGCAGGAATCTGCAAAAAATGGAATCTTAAATAGAGGGAAAACTCGGTTAAAACGGAGCCCGTTTAGCCGCTTCTGGGTGCAACGGACCGATATTTAGTTGGCACATTCGTTATACGGAGGGAAAAAAATGTGTTAAAATCCAGTTGGCACATTCCTCAAGAGCCAGTTTGGTCTGGTGGTTAGAAAGCAGGAGATGGCGAGTTCGAGTCCTGCCTTAGCCATGGAAGCCAACTGGGTGCCTTTGGACCGATCGCCAGCAGACGGTGAGTTCCAGTCCTGCCTTTCGCATGAAAGCGGGCCGCGTGATTTTTTGGGGGCCAGTCGCCACGCGACGGTGAGTTCTAATCCCGCCTTAGATATAAAAGCAGCCTGAGCAGGGGGTTGGACTAGATGACCTCCGAGGTACCTTCCAACTTTACTAGTGATGGAGCACCCGCGACTTCCAGAGGAGGGATGGATGAGAGAGATGAGAGAATTTAGACCAGGGGTCTTCGAACGTGGCCCTTTGATGACTTGTGGACTTCAACTCCCAGAATTCCTCAGCCAGGCACGCGTGCCTGGCTGAGGAATTCTGGGAGTTGAAGTCCACAAGTCATCAAAGGGCCAAGGTTGAAGACCCCTGTTTTAGACAGACAGGCAGACCAATACTTTTTTTCTCCTCTCCCAGGAAATCCTCATTGCTTCAAACCTCGACAGAGGAAGCCAAGATCTACTATCAACCCGACGCTGCCGATGACTTTGACGATGAAGATCCAGACGACGATTTAGACGTGTGAAGGAGAAAGGGCTTGTTTTTTTCCAGATCTGGAACCGGAATCTTTTTACGTCTCCCTGGACTGCTCTTTTTCCTTTGCAACTTGGGAACGATGGCGGACAGAAGCAGTCAGCTGCTGGGAACGGTCTGGCAGGGCAAACCGGAACCCGGGGCCATCCGAACAGGATAAACACAGTCCAGATTTGCTTCCCCTGGGAAAGGACACGAATAAGAAGCGACCTTCGGGAAATTGGTTTGGAATCCGGATAGGAAGCCTTTGCTGAAGGTCATTTGGCATCCCCCCGTCCTTTTTTGGAGCGATTCGTAGCCAGTAAACTGTTTTGTGTGCCGATATGACGGGCTCTGTGTGGCTCTTAACGCAATAAACAATCACACTATTTGCCACTATTGCCAACTTTCCCCATATGCGTCTTTCTGTGCCTTTAAGATTTTGCAATGGATTAAATTACTTGTGTGGGTGACTTACAATACGTGACTGCGTCTTTGGGGGAATATAAACTCCGTAGAACAGTGTTTCTCCAGCTTGACCCCTCTGAAGACGGGTGGACTTCAACTCCCAGAATTCCCCAGCCAGCCTGGCTTCCTAGGCCCAGGCACTCGGAACGTGCTCAGGAAACTGTCGGCCCTTCACAGGGGATGAGGCTGAAGGTGGAACTCCCAGAATTCCAGCGGGATCTGGGAATGGGCCTTCCCACACAGCTACAGATTGGAAAAATTAGGGCAGTTGTCAGGATTATTGGCTGTGGTGACTTTGGCAACCTGGCTGAGGAATTCTGGGAGTTGAAGTCCACCTGTCTTAAAGCAAGCTGGCTGGGGGATTCTGGGAGTGGAAGTCCACCCCTCTTAAAGCAGGCTGGCTAGGGGATTCTGGGAGTCGAAGTCCACCCAGCTTGAAGCAGGCTGGCTGGGGGATTCTGGGAGTGGAAATCCACCCATCTTAAAGCAGGCTGGCTGGGGGATTCTGGGAGTGGAAATCCACCCATCTTAAAGCAGGCTTGCTGGGGGATTCTGGGAGTTGAAGTCCACCCATCTTAAAGCAGGCTGGCTAGGGGATTCTGGGAGTGGAAATCCACCCATCTTAAAGCAGGCTGGCTGGGGGATTCTGGGAGTGGAAATCCACCCATCTTAAAGCAGGCTTGCTGGGGGATTCTGGGAGTTGAAGTCCACCTGTCTTAAAGCAAGCTAGCTGGGGAATTCTGAGAATCGAAGTCCACTAAACTGGCCAGAGTTGAGAAACACTGTTAGAGCCTGTGGGCTCATTTTAAGGTAAATCTAGACACCTTTTTTACGTGAAGAAAAACACAAGTAGATTTTTTTAAAAAGTAGACAAAAAGCAGAAAAGAGCACAAGTTGCAAGGATGCATAATGCACAAACCCTAGCCAGGTTTCAAGACCTGAAACCCTGGCACCTGTCCAGACAGCTTTGGAGAGGCTGCAGAACGACTCCAGGACAGAGAAGGAGGGGGAAAAAATACACCTTGCCTGCTAATAATTGGGAGAAAAATCACTTTACAACAACCCTGCGGTGTCGCCCACTGTCCATAATATCAGCTCAGTAGAAAACCTAGCCTGCCTTTCATCGCTGGCCCTTTTGTGGTTTCTCCCTGGAACAGGGATCTTCAAACTTGGCCCTTTGATGACTTGTGGACTTCAACTCCCAGAATTCCTCAGCCAGCGTGCCTGGCTGAGGAATTATGGGAGTTGAAGTCCACAAGCAGGGTTCTTCAAACTTGATTCTCTCATGACTTGTGGACTTCAACTCCCACAATTCCTCAGCCAGGCACGCTGGCTGAGGAATTCTGGGAGTTGAAGTGCACAAGTCATCAAAGGGCCAAGTTGGAAGAACCCTGTCCTGGAGGGTCGAGCAGGAAGCAAACATTGGCTAATACTTTGAAACAATTTCGGCCTCTCGATTTAAATCCCTTTTTTTGCTCCATTTCAACTTCGCCTCACACAAGAGAAAGTAAAGCGCGCGAACTCTCTGCGCATGCGCTTCCGCTGCCTTTCGTGGTTTTTTTTTTTTTTTTCTCTCCCCCTCCCCGCTCTCTGGACGACGCATGCGCCCCCCGCGCTCCGCTTTCAAATTCCTTCGACGCGCTTTTCCTTTCTTCGCTCTTTGCTTTTTTTTTGCCTCCTCCCACCCCCCCAAGCGGAGGCGCGCATGCGTGGAGCCCTGCCGGCCCCGCCTCTTCCCGCCTCGCCTTCTCATTGGACGCGCCCCCCTCAGCCGCGAACCGGAAGCAGAGGCTGGCGCTCCGTCGGCTGCCCCGGAAGCGGACCGCCGCTGAAGCAGAGGCGAGCGTCGGCGGGGGAGGCGGGAGCGCTTCCCGCTCTCAGGCGGCGGCGGCGGCGGCGGCGACCGAGGAGGCGGCGGCGGCGGGATGGCGGGGCCGGCGGGGCCGGGCTGAGCGGAGGGCCCTGCCGTCTTCCTCCTCCCGTCCTTCGTGCCCGGCTGGAAGCTGGCGGAGCTGGGCCGGGCCGGGGGCGCGGCGGGCCCCGCCGGCGGGATGATGCGCTCGCAGTGCCTGCTGGGCCTCCGGGCCTTCCTGGCCTTCGCCGCCAAGCTCTGGAGCTTCCTGCTCTACCTGCTGCGCCGGCAGGCCCGCACTGTGAGTAGCGCCGGGCGAGGGCGCCTCTGAGCACGGGCAGAGTGCGCCGCGGGGAGGGAGGGGGGCTGGGGGAGCCGAAGGGGCCTCTGGGGCTGAAGGGCGGGGAGGCTTTGGGGTCCCTGGGCCGGTGGGTCTCTCTCTCCCCTCCTCTCCTCTTTCTCTCCAGGCTTCTCCCTTCTCTCCCCATCTTTTCTCCTGGCGGGACGGTCTCTGTGGTGGGGGGAGGTTGGTGGTCTCTGAGCTGGGTGGTTTTCTGGGAGACATGACCCAGCTAGGGAACCTCATCAGGGCTGGAAGGGAGGAGGAGGAAGAGGAAGAGGAGGAAAATAATTGGGGGGGGGGTCTTTGCTCTCCGAATTGGTGGTTTCCTTGCAGACGTTTCATGACCGAGCTAGGGAACATCTTCAGTGCTAGAAGGGAGGAGGAGGAGGAGGAGGAGGAGGAGGAGGACTGTGGGGTCCTTGGTGCTCTCTGAGTTTGGTTATTTTCTTGCAGACGTTTCATGACCCAAGTAGGGAACATCATCATCAGTGCAAGAGGGGAGAGGAGGAGGAGGAGGACTGTGGGGTCCTTGGTGCTCTCTGAGCTTCGCTGGTTTTCTTGCAGAGGTCTCATGACCCAATTAGGGAACCTCATCAGGGCTAGAAGGAAGTAATAATAATAATAATGATAAAGTTGGAAGGGACCTCGGAGGTCATGTAGTCCAACCCCCTGCTCAGGCAGGAACACTACGCCATTTCGGACAAATGGCCATCCAGTCTCTTCTTAAAAACTTCCAGTGTTGGAGCATTCACCGCTTCTGGAGGCAGGTGGTTCCACTGGTTAATTGTTCTCACTGTCAGGAAGTTTCTCCTTAGTTCCATCCTTGATTCGTTTCCATCCGTTGCTTCTTGTCCTGCCTTTGAGCGCTTTGGAGAATAGCTTGACTGCCTCTTCTTTGGGGCAGCCCCTGAGATACTGGAACACGGCTATCCTGTCCCCCCTCGTCCTTCTCTTCGTTAAACTAGACATACCCAATTCCAGCAATGTTTTGTGGTGTGGAAGGAAGAGGAGGAGGAGGAGGAAGAGAAGAAGGAAGAGGAGGAAGTAGAGGAGGAGGAGGAGGAGAAAGACTGTGGGGTCCCTGGTGCTCTCTGAGCTTGCTTGGTTTTCTTGCAGACGTTTCATGACCCAACTAGGGAACCTCAACAGGGCTAGAAGGGAGTCAGTGGGGTTTGCAGAGTGGGAGAAGGGAGAAGGGGAGGAGGAGGACTGAGGGGTCCTTGGCGCTCTCTGATCCTGGTTGTTTTCTTGGAGATGTTTCGTGACCCGACTAGGGAACAATGTCAGTGTTAGAAGGGAGTTGGGGTTTTGTGGCATCTCTAGTGCTCTCTGAGCTGGGTGGCTTTTCCTGGAGACGTTTCATGACCAGACTAGGGAACCTCATCAGGACCAGAAGGGAGGGGGATTTGTGGAGAGAAGGAAGACGGGTGGGTGGGGTGCTCACAGAGGAGGAGGAGGAGGAATGTGGGGTCCTTGGTGCTCTCTGAACTGAGTGGTTTGCTTGCAAATGTTTTATGACCCAACTAGGGAACATCATCAGGGCTAAAAAGGAGGGAGGCTTGAAGACAGGAGGAGGAGGACAGTGGGCTCCTTGGTGCTCTCTGAGCTAAGTTATTTTCTTGCAGACGTTTCATGACCCAACTAGGGAACATCATCAGGGCTAGCAGGGAGGTTTGGAGAGAGGAGGAGGAGGAGGAGGAGAAAAGGACTGTGGGGATCCTGGGTGCTCTCTGAGCTGCTGGGTTGCTTTCTTCGTGACGTTTCATGACCCATCTAGGTAACGTCATCCGTGCTAGAAAGGTTTACCGTCCATCAACGTGGTTTGTCCAGTCAGCGTTGGAAGAACGTTGGTGGGTCCTTAATTAGCCTGTTTTTACTATTTGACTGTTTGTCTGGAGCTGATAGTTCCTTGTTCTCGGCTCCGTTTACTGCCCGGTAGCTGCTCTGATACCAATTCTGATTTTAATCTCTGCTTCTCTGGGTGCTGATTACCGGTGAGTACCTCCTCCTCAAGGGCTAGGGCAGTTCCTGCCATAATTAAGGAATTCCCAAGAACACTCCCACCAACAACACGGACAGGGCAAGCCACTAGTATATAAACAGAGAGCGCTTCCCTCTTCCCTTCCAGCACTGATCATGTTCCCTAGTTGGGTCCTGAAACGTCTGCAAGGAAATAACTCAACTCAGAGAGCACCAAGGACCCCACAGTCCTCCTCTTATTCCTTCTCTCCTCCTCCTCCTCCTCCTCCTCCTCCTCCTTTTTTGCAAACCCTACTACTTTTCAGCACTGATGATGTTCCCTAGTTGGGTCATGAAACGTCTGCAAGGAAACAACTAAACTCAGAGAGCACCAAGGACCCTCACAGTTGAACCCTGGACTACAAACATTTTCTCCTATGGATGCCCCATATTCTGTACAGACCCTAGCCAGGTTTTGGATGCTTCCACTGACCACCTTCCGATATCAAACAAGCTTGTAAGGCTTCATTTTGGATTCCTGCAGTAGACAAGACCTGGCTGGGACTGTAATAACGGGGTAAATTCAAGGCAGAAGGAAATAGTCCCCATCCCTGAACATCTGCAGTCAGACAAATTAAACCTGTGTCTGCAGGAAAAATTGCGTTCGTGACAAATGTCCTACAAATGATTGGTGTGAGTGATGTAGGAGTGAAATAGTCACTAGTGGGGCTGGCTAATCTGATAAATCATGGTCTACGATCCTTCAAGGAGTTCAGAGGCAGAAAGCTGAGGCCACATAGATCCTGGTTTGTTAAGCGCCGTCGTAAATCAGGCGTAGTAGCCACAAGTGGGTTTTTTTTATTATTTTTGTGGATGCTGCAGTCTTATCATTCTAGATAATATCTCCCGAGATATTAGCTGCTTTTCTTTCTCTTCCCAGTATAGCTGGGGCATAGGGGAAGTAGGGAGGAGGAGGAGGAGGAGGAGGAAGACTGGGGGGGGGGTCCTTGAGGGTTTCTGAGCTTGGCTGGTTTTCTTGCAGACGTCTCATGACCCAACTAGGGAACGTCATCGGTGCTAGAAGGAAATGGAGAGTGCAGAGAGGAGGAGGAGGAGGAGGAGGAAAAGGACTGTTAAAATTCATCACCCAGTGGAGAATTCAGTTTGTGCTCGGAGGTCAAACGTGCCTCCGGCAGGCAAAAATTGAGGGCCGTCCTCAGTTTGCAAACACGGGGAGTCCTCGCCTTACGACCACAATTGTGCCGAAAGCTTATGTGGCTAAGAGAGGCAGTTAAGTGAATTTTGCCCCTTGCCGTTGTTGTTAAGTGAATCACTGCAGTTGATAAGTTCGTTGCTCTGTTGTGAAATGAAGTGATTTTGCTGGTCAGAAGGTCGCAAAAAGGGGATCACGTCCCTCCCCCCCCCCGGACGCTATGAGGGTCGTAAATAGGAACCAGCTGCCAAAATTTGGATCACGTGACCAAGGGGACGCTGCCATAGTTCTAAGTAGGAAAAGTGGTCCCAAGTCCCTTTTTTCAGTGCCGTTGTAACTTTGAACAGTTACTAAATGAACTGTTATAAGTGAATAGAATAGAATAGAATAAGAAATTGAATAGAATAGAATTACCAAATAGAAAATAGAATAGAGAATTAGAATTAGAATAGAGCTGGAAGGGATCTTGGAGGTCTTCTAGTCCAGCCCCCTGCTCAAGCAGGAGAACCTACACCATCTCAGAAAAGTAACTATCTAGCCTCTTCTTAAAAACCTCCAGTGATGGAGCGCCCACGATTTCTGGTGGCCAGCTGTTCCACTGGTTAAATTGTCCTCACTGTCTGGAAATTTTCTCCTTAATTATGCAAAGCAGCCTTCCATCCAATGACATGCCCTCCAGGGGCACGTTAGAACCATCATCCACAGCCAGCCAGAGGATGGGAATTCTATTAACCATATTAACACAAGTCCCATTCTCCGGCTGGCTGTGGATGCTGGTTCTAAAGCGTACCCGAAGGGCACACACCATTAGATGGGACGCTGCTAATGGTGGATAACAGAACTGGAAGGGACCTTGGAGGTCTTCTAGTCCAGCCCCCCGCTCAAGCAGGAGAACCTACACCATCTCAGACAGGTGACTGTCAAGCCTCTTCTTAAAAACCTCCAGTGATGGAGCGCCCACGATTTCTGGTGGCAAGCTGTTCCACTGGTTAATTGTCTTCACTGTCAGGAAGTTTCTTCTTAATTCCAGGTTGCTTCTCTCCTTGATCAGTTTCCAACCACTGTTTCTCGTCCTGCCCTCTGGTGCTCTGGAGAATAATGTGACCCCCTCTTCCTTGTGGCAGCCCCCCAAATACTGGAATACAGCTATCCTGTCTCCCCTATTTCTTCTTTTCTTTAGACTAGCCAGACCCAATTCCCGCAGCCGTTCTTCGTAGGTTTTAGTCTCCAGGCCTTGGATCATCTTAGCTTCTCTTCATTGTACTAGTTGAGGAGTGCCTGTTTAGCCTTACTCCGTTCTTCCTCTGAGAGCTGAAAGTAGCCGGGATCAAGTTTTACGTCTCTTGTTTGCAACTGGAAAGTAAAAGGGGAACTTCCCTTTTTAAATCCACACCGAAAAGCTGGTGACGGAAGTTTTTTCCTACTGGGGTGTAGAAAACACGGTTTATCCCTCGGAGGAGAAAAAAGGGAGAGCGTGAAGCCGCGTTAAGACCGTGCAGGCGGTCCCCCCAATTTAACGGCCACAAATGCTGGGCCCGACACTTCCGTCACTAAGCAAGACAGTCATTAAGTGAGTTTTTTGCCCCATCTGACCACCTTCCTTGCCCCAGCTAGGAAGCGAATCACCGCAGTTTGTTAAATCATGACACAGTTAAGTGAATCTGGCTTTGACCTTGCTTGTCAGAAGCTGGCAAAAGGGAGATTGCACACACACACACCCCGGGACGCTGCGACCGTCGTAAACACGAGTCGGTTGGTTTTGATCACGCGACCGTTGGGAGGCTGCGACGGCCGTGTAAAAAAAACGGTCGTAAGTCAACTTTTTGTGACTTTGAACTGTCACCAAATTTGTAAGTCGAGAACCTCTATGTAAATCTTGCCTATAATAATAATAGTAATAGTAAAGTTGGAAGGGACCTTGGAGGTCATCTAGTCCAACCCCCTGCTCAGGCAGGAAACCCTATATACCATTTTGGACAAAGGGCTGTCCAGTCTCTTCTTAAAAACTTCCAGTGTTGGAGCGTTCACCGCTTCTGGAGGCAGGTTGATGTTTTTTTCCTGAACTGCAGGCCATCAATCCAGGCCTGTTTATAGTCTATGATGTGCTATTCCTTGCCTCACACGTTTGTCAGGTTTCGGCTTTCTCAAGAGGTCTTGCAAAACAACCCATGATTAATCCGTGATCGGTGATGGTTGAGGGATAACTCTACGCTTTCTGGCTTTTGTCATCCCGAGTTTTGGAGAAGGTTCTCCCCCCCCCCCCAATTTTCCCCTCTATGTGATCTCAGATTAGAGGAGAAAAATTAGAACTCAAAGGAGAAGGGGGGGGGGAAGTCCTGGAGGTTTTTAAGAAGAGACTGGACAGCCGTTTGTCTGAAATGGTACAGGGTCTCCTGCTCGAGCAGGGGGTTGGACTAGATGACCTCCAAGGTCCCTTCCAATTCTTCTGTTGTTCTGTTAGTTGTGGGTGCTCCATCACTGGAGGTTTTCAAGAAGAGACTTGAAATGACATTTGTCTCAAATGACAGAGGGTCTCCTATTTGAGCGGGGGGCTGGACTAGAAGACCTCCAAGGTCCCTTCCAACTTTGTTATTGTGATATTTTGTCTTCCTTCCTTCCTTCCTTCCTTCCTTCCTGATTGGACAGCCATTTGTCTGAAATGCTAGACTACCCTTTCAGACAAGTGAGTGTTCAGTCTCTTCTTAAAAACCTCCAGTGATGGAGCGCCCACAATTTGTGGTGGCAAGCTGTTCCACTGGTTAATTGTCCTCCCTTTTCAGGAAGTTTCTCCTTAATTCCAGGTTGCTTCTCTCCTTGATGAGTTTCCATCCGTTGTTTCTTGTCCTGCCCTCTGGTGCTTTGGAGAATAGGTGGAAACCCCCCCCCCCCTTGAACAACAGAACAATTGTGGGGCAATGCTCCCTTTAGCCATGTCTCACTTAGCCCCAGAAATGCTGGACTCAAATTGGGGTGAGAGGGAGGGTCCCCTTCTTCCACTCCTGGTTTTCTGGTGAAAAGAGAAGCCCAAATTACGGGCCCCGGGCCTGGCTGTGGCGGCTTGTGGCCCCCTCCCCTATTCTGCCAAGCCAGGGGGATGCAGGCAGGACCCCCCCTTGGAACTGGGGGGGGGGGTTCCTGGCTGGCCTAGAGCAGGTCCGGTCCTCTCCTCTCCTTGACCGCCCTTCCCCTCCTGCCCGGCTGGGACCCGGAGACCTTGGCCGGCTTCCCGGCCACAGGGGGCTAATTTTGGAAAGATGAGCCGGTGGGGCTGGAGGGGACACACACGCACATGCTCGCACACTGAGACACACGTATGAGAGGGAGGGGAGGGGGGTGCCCGCTGTCCTGGTGCCCTTGCAAGGGGGCAGGCCAGGCTTTTGCAGAGGAACAGCTGGTGGGAGGGGGGGGGAGAGGTAAAAATAGACCTGGAAGAGCTCCTCAGTGTTAAGGTGGCCCCTCGGCCTTTGGGCCCCGTTGCCCCCTGGGATGGGTGGCCCCACCTAGGAGGCCGGGGGTCCTCCTGTGCGCTCCCTTGCCTACCTGGAACTAAGGAAAAACTTCCTGACAGTGAGAACAATTAGCCAGTGGAACCACCTGCCTCAAGAAGCGGTGGATGCTCCAACACTGGAGGTTTTTAAGAAGAAACTGGACAGCCATTTGTCCGAAATGGTCTAGGGTCCCTGCCTGGGCAGGGGGTTGGACTAGATGACCTCCAAGGTCCCTTCCAACTTTATTATTATTATTATTGTTGTTGTTGTTTGTCTGAAATGGAATAGGGTTTCCTGCCTGAGCAAGAGGTTGGACTAGATGACCTCCAAGGTCCCTTCTATCTGTTCTGTTATTCTGTTATTCTTTTTTCTTTCCTTCCTTCCTTCCTTCCTTCCTTCCTTCCCACCTCCCTCCCTTCTCTATCTCCTTTTTCCTCCCTCTCTTTTCCTTCCTTCCTTCCCATTTCCCTCCCTTCTTTATCTCCCTTTCCTTCCTTCCCATCCACCTCCCTTCCTTCTCTATCTCCTTTTTCCTCCCTCTCTTTTCCTTCCTTCCTTCCCATTTCCCTCCCTTCTTTATCTCCCTTTCCTTCCTTCCCATCCACCTCCCTTCCTTCTCTATCTCCTTTTTCCTTCCTTCCTTCTCTTTTCCTTCCTTCCTTCTCTCCCACCTCCCTCTCTTCTCTATCTCCTTTTTCCTCCCTCTCTTGTCCTTCCATTCTTCTGTCCTTCCTTCCTTCCTTTTTCCTCCCTCCCTTTCTCTTTTCCTCCCTCCCTCCCTTCCTTCCCACCTCCCTCCCTTCTCT